TTGTCCGAGAACCAGTACTTCAACATAGGCAATCACCCCTGGACTCTCGTTAGGAAGCAGAGCAGATTTCTTGTCATTCAGCTCCCATTCAACAACAAACAGCTTGGGCTAAGTAAGCACAGCAGTATTATCATTCCAGTGATAGGAAACTCTCTCCCACAACTAACCAGCATCAGTTCTCTGTACAGTCTACCTAACAGGTCAAGGAGTACCATGTTAATGAAAAAAAACCTCTGATTAAACACTTGAATACTGGATCATTAAATCTGTGTTATCATGAAAAATTACATTATACATTTCCTGCAATCGTTTGTGTTCTCTCCAAGCACACATGTTATGATTAACCCTGATATCCTTTCACAGCAAATCTTAATATTCTTTCAAGTACAAGTGGTATTACAAGCACACATGGTATGATGCTAACATTAAAGGACGCTTACATGTAGACTTGCACAAGTCTCAAAGGCATATATTATGAGTTTAAATCATAATTTCTAGAATATCTACATAATAAGAACAAGTTGTCCCTATAAGAAACAGGCGTCCTTAGACTGCTGCTTATCTAGACTTGATAGAATTACTATACACCCATGGACTTTCAGTACAGTACTGGAGCAAGGCTAGCTTATATGGTACGATCCCAATGTTCCCACGATCACCAATCCTACACAAGGTAATCTTAATCCCTGGATGTAAAACACTACCTAGCAGAACCATAAATACAATTTAAACGGTAAATCAACATGTGTGGTGATTTTTTATCTCAAATTTCGAATTGGTACTGACCAAGTTTCTCATCACCCGTTCGTTTACCGGAATTTGCTGAAGGGGTAGATCTACGGTGTAATTATTTTCTGCGCTTGACATTCAAACTTATTTTTCCAAAATACTGAATCCGCTAGAGGGGGGTGCGCATTATACATGGGTGTGCACTATACTCCAGAAAATACGGTAAATAACCTCCCTGCCTGTCATCACAACTGCAACACTGTGGAGTATACACCTGGAGTAGAGTTGGGTCTGTGTGGTACACACTAACTTGTAGGTACTAATGGTACTTTATTCATGGCAAGTGTATTAGGCAATTCTCACACCTCTACACTAAGGCAGTCAACAATCTCAGTAGCAGTATTGTCAACAATCTACCAGTAGCAGTATTGTCACCAATATATCAGATGCAATATTGTCAACAATCTCTCAGTAACAACTGATGTCAACAGTCTTTCAGTATTGCCAACAATCTCTCAGCATCCATATGGTCAACAATCTATCAGAAACTTTATACAACGATCTAACACTAACCGTATTCAAAAACGTATTAGTAGCAGAACTGGGAACCTAGCAGACGGCCATGTAGTCCCAGTGTCGCCAGCAGTGTCGACAACATCATCGATACAAGCTACATACTTACATCCAAGTATAGTTAGACTACACCTTAAACCTCAAGGCAAATCAATAACAACTCTGTCTCGGAAACATTCACCCTCGTCCAGATGATAACTGTGTTGCAGACAAATAAACTACCACAAGTATCTTATTTATGGCCAAAAAACGTTGAAGGTATCGTTTTGATACTGAAATTGATTGACCATGTTGGCTGATCGGCAGTGAGAGAGCTTGTTTCCACTCTTAGTGCTACACTTATTGTCTTTGTAAAGCCCATGTTTCAAGAACAAGGTACAGAAGAACAGTCCATATCCTACAGATGTTGGTATGTAACACAGCCGAAGGAGTATAATCAGAAATGGAGACATGATCAGTACATAAATCCAGAAAGAGCAGTCGCAGAGATTAAATTCTCCCATAACATAAACTTTTATCAACACAAAACTGATGAGAAATGACAACGAATGCATACAGAAGATAAAATATCCCTCAATATGAACCTACAAAGACTGAGGCAAGCTGGCAGTTTTATGGAGAGGGAACAGATAAGGGCAGCACATCATTCGATTCCATGATTTTTTCATTGAATCTTGCACCCATCACCCCATGAATCACCCCTGCTGTAAATACATGGCGCTTCCACCACGTTATTCCTCCAGGGAAATCACCCAAGACACGTTTCAGCCGAGCAAATTTCTCACAAACAGCTCTCAAGGGGAGTTTATTAAAGCTCATTATGTGACTGCCTTTCACCTAGGGACGACTCATGTCTTTCATGGGACTGGGGAAGTACTAATGGTACATGGATGAAACTTGTCGATAATTTTCAACTAGATTCTATTCTTTCCCAATGTTAATACGGCAGTCATATGACCTAATTGTCTCTAATGACATTGGTGCCGACTGTCAGAGCAAGTGTACGATGAGTTGGCTGACATTCATTATCATCCACATGATCCTCTTTCAAGTCAGAGGTAATAATTCCTCAGTATTAATAACGCTATTTTGTCCTTATCAGCAATAACGGTTGGCTTCCCAGTGTACAAATGAAATACTCCCACAATCATTGTCAAACTGATTACACTCCACATAAACACTTATTGCCATTCTTAACTTTTGTAATTTTTTATATCTTTTATTAATAACTTTGCCATTTTACATGGTTCAAGACCGAGTCTGCTAGAGAATACTGACAGTTGTAAGGCAAGTAGTTTGGTTTTCAAGCAGGATGTAGCTATCTTCCACATGCCAAACAAAGGTTGGCTACAGATCCTAGTACTGCATCTACCTACCTATACAGTTGGGCCTTGACTGACATGCCAAAATGATGCAAATAATATTATCAAATGTTTGATGTGGTTGCATGCCAGACGATATTGCATGCCAGCCAATATTGCAAGTCAGGCGATATTGCATGCCAGACGATATTGCAAGCCAGACGATATTGCAAGCCAGACGATATTGCATGCCAGACGATGTTGCAAGCCAGACGATATTGCAAGTCAGACAATATTTTTTTTAGGATAGTGGAGCTTGAACTTTTACAAATATGAAACTGTTTAGTTGAAGATATATCTTTGAACAAATTATGACTGCTTCTGCAACATTTAGCTGATTCACATTCATTAATGCAGAGTGCTGCAATGGCAGCCATTTTGAACTTTTCAAAATGAAAACACTACTTAGACAAAGGGCAGGAAATACAGAGCGACATATTCATGTTTCAGTGGTTTGGGAACAGAACAATTCTCAGTGCAGCGGTAAGGGAGAACAGTAAAAAACTACAGATATAATTATATCCTATTGCTGATTTCAGGCGGGTCTATAAATGTTAGTGGAGGACCCTGTTTGCTTTTCATGCAAGATCCCACTGGACCTCAAACTCATGAAGCACTTTCACCAGTAAACTGTTCACGAAAATATAAAAAAACCCATTCTGCTCCAAAACGAATCTTGATAAATTTTAAATCAATACAAATGTAATTAATTAATTAATTCTTTTCCACAACTTTATATCAACACTAGGTACCAAATCCAATTAAACCTCAAACGGAGAATGCAAACCAATGTGACATAATTACACTTCCCTCCTTCGAAGCATTGTATAATTCAACAAATAATGTCTAAAAGCCAATTAATAAATTTACTTTCTTGGCAAAATGAAACGAAGCCAGAATCATCTGCAGGCAAATAACTGACACAACGTAAGGACCTTCCATTTCCAATGTAACTATTAAGCCTTTGGCTGTACAATTTACCTCCCCTGAGGGAGTAGCGTAATGATAATTTCCTAACAATAATTGAACTGTCAGATCCAGACGCGGCCATGAGTTGATCTAACAAACAGCCCCATCTAAGCAAACACATGTTGCAAATTTCCTTCCATTAATCCAATAAAAAAATGTTTCTTGGAATCTCCCCGAACAGCAGGTGTGAATGATAACGAAAAAGGGTGAGTCCTTGCAAGTCGACAGAAGCTATTCATGATGCATTAACTGTTAAAAAAGTTGCCACAAGCTGAACAAATCTTTGCATTACTGGAAGGATGTGTAGAGATAGGTCCATTACCCCTATCTTGGTGCAGGTGGATGCTGAGATGGGGATGTTGATGTAGTTGATGGAGTTTCCCAATGTGCGACTTACGTGTAGTTTACCGTTTCACCGGCATGTCACGTCTGGGTGTTCAGGCAGGGAGATATGAAGGATTCTCCTGACTTTGAATTATTGGATTTTAATTTGAAGCAATTTTTTTTTAGTAATCCTGTCATTTCAACACATTTTGAGACACAGATCACCTGGGTCAAACTTTGGATCCCTTTCTGCATTTGAAAAAAATATATAAAAGGTTTGGTTCCTTGCTTAAGCATTCTTACATCCATGTGTCAGTGGCCCATAAACCCTACTACTATGACTACGTCACTGTACAACATGACACTGTGTGATGACACCATGCAACAATAGAAACTAACATTTTTAGTCCACTCGTCCTTATAATAAAAACATACATAGCAAAACTCTCAAAATTGGCAAATTTCTTCTAGTCCCTATGATACCTTAACTCTTGGGTAGTTTTGCAAGGACTATAGCGCCAATTTCTAACGCTGCCATGTGCTGCAACTGTGATGCCACTATGTGATGTCATGTGATGCTTGCGTGTGATGAGACTATGCATTAATTTTGCTACCTTGTGTTGCTACCATGTGATGTCATGTGATGCTTGCGTGTGATGAGACTTTGCATTGCTACCTTGTGTTGCTACCATGTGATGATCTGTTCCCAAAGGTTTGTCATCAAATTGCAACCGGAAAACGTTTCAGAATTTAACCTGCAACTTTCATCTTTGATCAGACTGTCATCAAAATACAATTGACAATCATGACACAAATGAACCAGGAGGTCGACCTTCACTCACATTGAATCACAAGCATAAGGTTGTCACCACAGGAAGATGGTGACCTACCCTACATGCAAATCTACACACCTAAATGTAAAGGGCAATCAATCTGGCAATCTGTTCACTACGTTACAAACATGGTGTCCCAATTCTCACCTTTAATTGCAAGGATGGTCCATCTTGTAAAAAAGGTCACTAAGAACATCCAACATCAACTCACCTTGAATACCAACGACGTTCCATCTGGCGATCTTGTCACTACAGGACATGGTGAGCAGACGTTCCCCCTGCAGTACTCCGTCCCACGTCTGTATCGCTCCCGATGTCTTCACCGGGATCGTCCCCTCCCCAGACTCGATCTTCGTCCTCAGCTGCCCCCGAGCCTTCCTGTTAGGATGCCTGTCTGCCGACTCAGCCTCCTTCTCGTGGGGGGAAAATATCCGGGAGTCACCACAAGGTGCAGTGCTTATGTACAGATGAAACTGAATGTTTTCCCTCAAACAATAGCCTCCATTTTCCTTCTTGATAAATATGGACCCCTCAGCCATGGCAGGATCAGAACCAAGATGCATTTCCAGCTGGGAGTACAGAAACCTCAACAAGGACCTTCTGGCCATGATCTCAGCGTGGCAGTCGTTGACCGCCTGGCCCTGGCTACTCATGTATTCCCCGTTGATGCACTTGGTGCCGGTTGTCACACAGATCACCTGTGCATTGTCCGTCTCGGGACCCTGTGTCATCACAAACCCCGCCAGGACTTTCCGCCGGGCATACTGGCTGGTGAAGCCGTCGGTCAGCTCACTGAACTTGTCCAGAACCAGCTTGGATACAACATCAGCCAGGATCTGGGGAACTTGAAGGGCACCGTCACGTGGAACTGGCAGGGTTCCTGCAACAGACAAGAGGTTGGAGTCACAGGGGTACAAGGATTTGCACAGTCAGCAGTATTTCTGCACAGATAAACTGTCAAAGAGAAACAAGGATACAAGGGCCCATTCCCAGTCATCCAGGGAATATCATTTTAATTGTTAGGATAAATACCCTAGATCCATTTGCTACTATAGCCTAATCCCAATGGTACATGCTAACAAACAACCTTGCAATGAAGTAACTCAGAAAGAGAGGTGATGTGCTGAGTGAGTTTTTTTAATTTCTTTTTTTTTATATATTAAACACCACACTCAGCAATATTCCAGATATAAGATGGTGGTTTGTAAATACTTGAGTCAGACAATCCAGTGATTGACATCATGAGCATAGACCTCAACAATTGGGATGATGACATGCACTAACCAAGTCAGTGAGCCTTACCACCCGATCCCCTTAGCTGCCCAATACAACAAGCATGGGTTGCTGAAGACCAATTCTAACTCAGATCTTCACAGGCAGCCAAGTTAGTGATCAATCAGATGGAACTTGTGATGTCACTTCCAAGAGTGACACCATGAGGAGAATGGGTCCAGGGAATTGATGGAAATAGAGCTGAATTGTATTATTTGTTGTAATCCTGCCCAGGAACTGTACACAGATAGACAAGCATGGGTACTGGAGATCTATTCTGCCTTGAATCCTACATGGTGGACAAGCATGGGTACTGGAGATCTATTCTGCCTTGAATCCTACATGGTGGACAAGCATGGGTACTGGAGATCTATTCTGCCCTGAATCCTACATGGTGGACAAGCATGGGTACTGGAGATCTATTCTGCCCTGAATCCTACATGGAGGACAAGCATGGGTACTGGAGATCTATTCTGCCCTGAATCCTACATGGAGGACAAGCATGGGTACTGGAGATCTATTCTTCCCCGAATCCTACATGGAGGACAAGCATGGGTACTGGAGATCTATTCTTCCCCGAATCCTACATGGTGGACAAGCATGGGTACTGGAGATCTATTCTTCCCCGAATCCTACATAGAGGACAAGCATGGGTACTGGAGATCTATTCTGCCTTGAATCCTACATGGTGGACAAGCATGGGTACTGGAGATCTATTCTCCCCTGAATCCTACTTTGGAAGACAAGCATGGGTACTGGAGATCTATTCTGCCCTGAATCCTACATGGAGGACAAGCATGGGTACTGGAGATCTATTCTCCCCTGAATCCTACATGGTGGACAAGCATGGGTACTGGAGATCTATTCTGCCTTGAATCCTACATGGAGGACAAGCATGGGTACTGGAGATCTATTCTCCCCTGAATCCTACATGGTGGACAAGCATGGGTACTGGAGATCTATTCTCCCCTGAATCCTACTTGGTGGACAAGCATGGGTACTGGAGATCTATTCTCCCCTGAATCCTACATGGTGGACAAGCATGGATACTGGAGATCTATTCTGCCCTGAATCCTACATGGAGGACAAGCATGGATACTGGAGATCTATTCTGCCCTGAATCCTACATGGTGGACAAGCATGGGTACTGGAGATCTATTCTGCCCTGAATCCTACTTGGGAAGACAAGCATGGATACTGGAGATCTATTCTCCCCTGAATCCTACATGGAGGACAAGCATGGGTACTGGAGATCTATTCTGCCCTGAATCCTACTTGGGAAGACAAGCACGGGTACTGGAGATCTATTCTCCCCTGAATCCTACTTGGGAAGACAAGCATGGGTACTGGAGATCTATTCTCCCCTGAATCCTACATGGAGGACAAGCATGGGTACTGGAGATCTATTCTCCCCTGAATCCTACATGGAAGACAAGTATGGGTACTGGAGATCTATTCTCCCCTGAATCCTACGTGGGAAGACAAGTATGGGTACTGGAGATCTATTCTCCCCTGAATCCTACTTGGGAAGACAAGCATGGGTACTGGAGATCTATTCTCCCCTGAATCCTACATGGAGGACAAGCATGGGTACTGGAGATCTATTCTCCCCTGAATCCTACATGGAGGACAAGCATGGGTACTGGAGATCTATTCTCCCCTGAATCCTACATGGTGGACAAGCATGGGTACTGGAGATCTATTCTGCCCTGAATCCTACATGGTGGACAAGCATGGGTACTGGAGATCTATTCTGCCCTGAATCCTACATGGTGGACAAGCATGGGTACTGGAGATCTATTCTCCCCTGAATCCTACATGGAGGACAAGCATGGATACTGGAGATCTATTCTCCCCTGAATCCTACATGGAGGACAAGCATGGGTACTGGAGATCTATTCTGCCCTGAATCCTACTTGGGAAGACAAGCACGGGTACTGGAGATCTATTCTCCCCTGAATCCTACTTGGGAAGACAAGTATGGGTACTGGAGATCTATTCTCCCCTGAATCCTACTTGGGAAGACAAGCATGGGTACTGGAGATCTATTCTCCCCTGAATCCTACATGGAGGACAAGCATGGGTACTGGAGATCTATTCTCCCCTGAATCCTACTTGGAGGACAAGCATGGGTACTGGAGATCTATTCTGCCCTGAATCCTACTTGGAGGACAAGCATGGGTACTGGAGATCTATTCTCCCCTGAATCCTACATGGAGGACAAGCATGGGTACTGGAGATCTATTCTCCCCTGAATCCTACATGGAGGACAAGCATGGGTACTGGAGATCTATTCTGCCCTGAATCCTACTTGGAGGACAAGCATGGATACTGGAGATCTATTCTCCCCTGAATCCTACTTGGAGGACAAGCATGGGTACTGGAGATCTATTCTGCCCTGAATCCTACTTGGAGGACAAGCATGGGTACTGGAGATCTATTCTGCCCTGAATCCTACATGGAGGACAAGCATGGGTACTGGAGATCTATTCTGCCATGAATCCTACATGGAGGACAAGCATGGGTACTGGAGATCTATTCTCCCCTGAATCCTACTTGGGAAGACAAGCACGGGTACTGGAGATCTATTCTGCCCTGAATCCTACATGGTGGACAAGCATGGGTACTGGAGATCTATTCTCCCCTGAATCCTACATGGAGGACAAGCATGGGTACTGGAGATCTATTCTGCCTTGAATCCTACTTGGGAAGACAAGCATGGGTACTGGAGATCTATTCTCCCCTGAATCCTACTTGGTGGACAAGCATGGGTACTGGAGATCTATTCTCCCCTGAATCCTACTTGGTGGACAAGCATGGGTACTGGAGATCTATTCTGCCCTGAATCCTACTTGGTGGACAAGCATGGGTACTGGAGATCTATTCTGCCCTGAATCCTACTTGGGAAGACAAGCACGGGTACTGGAGATTATGCCCCAGAATCCAATTATAGCTATGGTTAACATGTTACAGGCTCACAATCATCATTAAAATCCCCAATATTCTATAAGACATGCAGCACACTTCAATAAGACAAAAATTCACCAAAGGTTAATAAGCAGGAAGTGACTATGTGGCTGAGAGAAGACAACATACAACTTCATGGATAACAACCTCAGGTTTATTGCATTCAGCAATGTTTTGATGGCGATTCTTACACCATTACCAGCTTGATGCGGCTCAGATATTGCCAATGTCATGTTAAATTTTAACTCACTCACTAATAAACCGTAAAGAAATAGTAGAAATGTGTGTACAAAGAAGTGAAATTCTTAAAGTGTGGTTACATGGCTTTCACTGACTCAAAGGAAAACAGTGTCGTTAAACAAATTTAGAAAAGAAAAATCAAACCAGCTAGTTTTGGAAATTACTACAACAAAATCAAAGCACAGGAAGACATTTGACAGAAATTGCGCACCTAAGGTACTGAAGTGCTTTCAACTTGGCCACAATTGCCACATTTAACCAGAGGCTTGATAATCACAACAGCTTAGCTTCATAATCTCATCACTGTATAATTCACAATCACATCAGCACAGCTTCATTTGGCAGTTGTGTAATGAACATTGCAGACATTAGAAGACAACCTGGAGACATGTGACCCATTAGTACCGGCAGCTGAAGAGATACTGCATCCTCCTGTTACGGGACATTTAACACTGATTGCTGCAGCACTCTTCATCCAATCATCCAGTGAAGTGAGTGAGTGGTGCAGTGAGGTGTGTTGCCCTGTGTGGAGCGGTAGTGAGGAGAGGAGAGGAGAGGAGAGGAGAAAAGAGAAGAGAAGAGAAGAGAAGAAAGAGGAGAGGAGAGGAGAGGAGAGGAGAGGAGAGGAGAGGAGAGGAGAGGAGAGGAGAGGAGAGAAATCCTATGGATCGTGATTACACAATATTGATAATATTCCCGACGGTGGCGACCCATCCATCATAGACACAAGGGTTACCTCCCTTATAAACACAATGCTGATAGGTGTTGTGTGAGAGTTTCAGGACTATCCAGGTCCTACTAAGTTTCCACAGTAGTCAGTTCCTACAAGGGTAGCCTACATGTCAAAGTATTCTTCATGCCTAAGGTATAGGTTCGACTCCCCATATGGGTACAGTGTGTGAAGACCATTTCTGTCTCTACTATGATATTGTTTGAATATTGCTAAAAGTGGCATAAAACCCAACTCACTCACTCTCTCGACAACAATGGGTACTGGAGACATCCATCATGACAATGGAGTTGACCATAATTATCCATAATAAAAACTCAATAAATACATTCTCAAATGACAGTACCTTCCCAAAGTAACCCATTGTATTCCGAGACATGTTTTGTCCTTGTCAGTAAACATCCTACATCGCTGACATTATGTCCTACTTCTGTCAAGTTGTTATGTTTCTATGATAAACAGGAACCTTTTTACATCGGGTAACTACAGGCTCTTGAGAATTTGAGTCAGTAGTTGAGAAAACCTAGCGAATACCACATAGATCATCCTTTGATAATAGTCAGTCAACCATAGCGGCCTGGATGGAGAAGATAAATTGATTTAGCAAGGTTATTGAACATTACAAAAGGGATTTTCTTATGTAGCGAGAAGCCAATACATGTAGATCCATA